CTCACAGACTGTCTTGTCACGGCCACGGAGGCCGTTCATGAACTCACTGCCTGCCCTGTCACAGCCATGGAGACCGTTCATGAACTCACTTTATACATATATATATATACATAAATATATATATATATATATATATACATACTGTAAACTTTTACACAATAATATATACATACATGTTTTTCAGATGAAACGTGACCCAGACATGTTTTCATGAGATTCACTCCTTCAGTACTTACACCAAATCAATTATCTGCATTTTGTCGCAATGCCAGGTTGTGCCTCCTACATGAACATGCTCTCTCACCTCCATCTGTTGTCTGCATTCAGGAAGGTGCAAATCAATTTTTCGAGCAGGCACAGTGTTCTCTGTTCTCATCTAAATCCCTCCTAACTTTCTTTTGCGGTGAGACCTCAGCAGCAGCTTCATTGTGTAATGCAGAATAGCTTGCATTAGTTATTATGATGAAAGAATGTAGCTTTCTTTCCTTAAGTGAACCTTGCAGAAATGTTCTGGCCTGTATATGCAGATGACAGCACAAACAAGTAAGTTCTAACACTATTATGGCATCCCTTTTCCATCTTCCTTGAATGGCACAGCGTCTGGTGCCATAGGTCAAGTCAAGTCAAGTTACCTTTATTTATATAGCGCTTTTAACAATAAAGACTGTGTCAAAGCAGCTTTACAGTATCAACATAGGAAAATAGTGTGTCAATGCAAAAGGACAATAGTAAACACTCAATTTTCAGTTAAAGGCCGTTCATCATTGAATTCAGTGATGTCATCGTCCAGCTCAGTTCAGTTTAAATAGTATCTGTGCAATCAAGTCGACGATATCACTGGAAATTAAGTGTACCCAACTAAGCAAGCCAGAGGCGACAGCGGCAAGGAACCGAAACTCCATCGGTGACATAATTGAGAAAAAAACCTTGGGAGAAACCAGGTTCAGTCGGGGGGCCAATATGTACTGGATCCGGGTGACTGCAGTGACCATCTGATCTGGATACAGACTGGATCTGGTGGCTACGGTGACCTCGGAATAAAAAAGAGACCGACTAATATCAGCGTAGATGCCATTCTTCTTACGATGTAACAAGTACATTGTATGTTGTTGGAAGTGTTCCCAGTTCCGGTTGACCTAATTAATGCAGCCTAACAATCCTTTAACGGATTTCAGTAATAGAAATGTGTAAGTGTGTTATATGTAAGCCAGGTTAAAGAGATGGGTCTTTAATCTGACCTCGGAATAAGAGAGAAACAGACTAATATTAGCGTAGATGCCATTCTTCTAACGATGTAGCAAGTACATCGGGTGTTATTGGAAGTGTTCCCAGTTCCGGTTGACCTAATTAATGCAGCCTAACAATCCTTTAACGGATTTCAGTAATAGAAATGTGTAAGTGTGTTATATGTAAGCCAGGTTAAAGAGATGGGTCTTTAATCTAGATTTAAACTGACAGAGTGTGTCTGCCTCCCGAACAGTGTTAGGAAGATTATTCCAGAGTTTGGCCACTAAATAGGAAGAGGATCTGCCGCCCGCAGTTGATTTTGATATTCTAGGTATTATCAAATTGCCAGAGTTTTGAGAGCGCCGCGGACGTGGAGGACTATAAGAGCTTGCTCAAGTACTGAGGTGCTAAATCATTCAGGGTTTTATAAGTAATTAGCAGGATTTTAAAATCTATACGATGTTTAATAGGGAGCCAGTGCAGTGTTGACAGATCCGGGCTAATATGGTCATACTTCCTGGTTATAGTGAGAACTCTAGCTGCTGCATTTTGGACCAGCTGGAGTTTGTTTATTAAGCATGCAGAACAACCACCCAATAAAGCATTACAATAATCTAACTTTGAGGTCATGAACGCATGAATTAGTGTTTCTGCATTTGACATTGAGAGCACAGGTCGCAATTTAGATATATTTTTGAGATGAAAAAATGCAGTTTTACAAATAGGTGAAAGCGAGCAGTCGTTTAAACCATTCAGACTGCAGATCAGGTACTCAAAGCTGCAATTCATAGCTTCGCTCACACTCCAAAATCACTCCATTCACATTCAGATGGTCTGTAGCATTTTACTGGAGAGCAGAAGGCCATTCTCACTCACAGACTTACAGAAGACTGCACATACAAGAGCCACTCATCTATAGAGGCAATCATGCTAGCAGAAGGTGGGTGAACAAAGCTGTACAAAGTACATTGTGGGCGATACCGGTTAGAGATGCTACACAAACGCTCCTCCTCATCAGCGCTCAAGAACACTTGCTGGTGTCATATGGGTCGCTCTGTTTTCAGAAAGCAGCATGAATACATTGATAGTAGATGTTCCCACACTAATCATTTTACCCCCGTTTAAGGAACTGTAATGGAAGAATCACTTCCCTAAATGTGCCATGACAGTCAGAATCAGAGTATTTCTTTTATTTCATAATGTACTTTTTCTTTTGCAGTAATTACATAAGTTACATGAGGAAAAAATTAGTAGCAACAAGCTGTGCATCGAAATTGCTTACGTTGCAATAAGTTGTTTTTAACATCCAGATTAAATCTTTAACGGCTAAATCTGGTTTAACGGTAAATTACAGGGAGTCATCTGTGAATTAAACAAGGACAAACAAGCGAGCCTTTATCCCACAACAACAATACTTGGGCTGAGTATGGCTCTCACACAGAAAGTTCAAGTGATTCAAGGGTCCTTCAAAGACAGGGATACAGGTCCTGTTACACTGCAAATCCGTAATTTGTAAACATCCTCTTGATCTTCGTAACGACACAGGTATATACGACATCTCGGATAAAACAGCAAGGTATAATTAAGTTATAATTCCTATAATACAAGTAATAATTTGACACAAATAGACAAATTGGGGTCTGAGTACAAAAGTCTGCATCAGTGTTGTAGTCAAGACCAGATTTGAGATTCAAGACAAAGTTCAGAAGAGGGTGGAATTTGATTCAAGAGAGAGACCAGAAGAGGACATGAATCTGTGTCAAGAGTTCTTAGACCTGGACTCGATGACCAAAACCAAAACCATGAAAATATGATGTTTGACTTGGACTCTTAGACCAAGAACAAAATCATAAAAATATGTTCTTACACCGTGTCTACACTGGACGTGACAGCTTGAGGCTGTCTACACTGGACACGACAAAGTAACCGTTACAAATCATTTGTACTTTGTGTCCATCATAAATAGAATGAGGCATCAGTTTAATGTTGGGGATTTGTCGTGTTGTCTTTTGTCATTTCACTTTGCACGTTTGTGTCCAGTGTAGACATGGTGTCAGACTTAAATTCAAAGACAAGACCAAAACTATGAAAACATGGTCTTGGACTTGGACTTGAGGAACAAGACAAAAACCAAAACCATGAAAATAAGTTCTTAGACTTGGACTCAAGGACCAAGACCAAAACTATAAAAATATGGTCTTGGACTCATACTTGACACGGATTTTACCCTTTTCTGGTCTCTTTCCTGGCTTGGACTCAAATGAACTGGGCTTGACTAAACATTGTCATACAGTGGCTAATTCACTAAACAATTACTTTTGCATACAGTATTTCGGCACAAAAACAGCATAGCCACATTCATAGCCACAGTGCAGTTTAACAAGGCACTAAAAAAGTGCTGCAGTGTCAGTATTGTCAATACAAGTCATAGTCATTGTAAATTAGGCTTATTATACAGTATATGCATATTACTCACAGAACTTGGAGCAATTTGCCCAGTTATTTAACAAATGATTTAAAAAAAAAACATCATAATCCGGACAAACAGTTGAGTGCATTTCAGCATTTTAAAAAGTTCAGGTGTCTGGATCACAGTGGTGGAGTCTGCTGGACCCTTCACAACTTAAAAATATGAACCCATCCACAACATTGTGCCCATGCTGTCAACACAAGCAATTTGGGTAAGTTTGTGCTGGTCACTGATTTGCTAAATTCCTGAATGGGTTTAAAAACAGTGTGTACGCTATCAGGCGAATGTCTATTTTCCAAGACCTGAGGTTGGTTTTAACACAAGTTGGTCACCCTTGTCTTCCATTTGGAATCAACAAGAGGGCTTCCTGCCACGTGTCTCTGCTTGTTTTTCCTACAGAACAAATGCATGTCCTCCCTTACTCCGTTACTGGCCAAAACATAAAGCACTGGGTCCACCACGCTGTTCAGGCTAGATAGAGCGAGGGAGCAAGTGAAGGGTAAATACATCGCTTGTTCAAAGTTGCAGCTTTGTTTTTCTCCCACAGAAAAGTAGGCGATGGATCTTACCATCAAGAGGATGTGGTACGGTGCAAAGCAGAAGGAGAAAATGCCAATGACCCCCATTGACAGTAGCCTCACTTTGCGCTTGCCTTGATCGTCCACCCCTCTGCTTTGCTGCACCTTGGTTGGGATCAACCAGTAGCAGACGGAGATGACCACCAGAGGCAAGAGGAAACCAATGCCGACCCGTATCAGGTTGAACATCGCAATGCGTTCCGTCATGGGGAAGGTCTCGTAGCACGTTTGCTCACTGTCATTCAGTGGATCCGCTAACTTGTCTAGGTACAGCACCAAACAGTGCAAGGCCATCACCAAAATGTAGACCAGCCCGCAGATTATCCAGGCATAGCGCTGGCGGCGGAAGGCTTGAACTCGCAGCGGGAAGGTGATGGCCAGGCAGCGATCGATGGAGATCCAACAGAGGAGATAGATGCTGATGTACAGGTTGGAGTAGTAAAAGAAACCAGCCAGGCTACAGAGTCCTAGGCCGAGGTTCCATTTGTGGTTGTTGCTGAAATAATATATCCACAGAGGCATGGTGACGATGTACAGGAGATCTGAGAAGGACAAACTGAGTAGGTAGATCCCCAAAACGTTCCTTCTGCAGATCTGCTGAATTATGGGACCGATAGTGACCAAGTTGAAGAACAGCCCCAGGATGAAGGCGATGATGTAGATGGACATCAGCAGGTGACCTGCTGGCTGGGTCATGATCACACATGATGAGTTGCTTGTGTTGGATGTTGCGTTCATCATAGTCTGTGTGTACAAAGTTATTTAAGATTTCATTAATGACAAAGTGGTTACAATTAGTTAATTTTGCATGCAATGTCACTAATTTCAAAAATTGTGTCACAAAACATAAATAAAAGTGCAAAAATATGTATCTGCATCAGAAAACAACATAGTTCAGAAAAAGTATTAATTTTCAATTCAGCTTAATGTAATTATAATTCTACATCATGTTTGCACTCTCAGTTCAAACTCAATTGAATATGATTTGATTTGAATCCTAATTCATCTGAAAATGGTGCACAACCTTGATGTAAATAGATGTAAAATGTACCAGTTCTTGCATAATTTACCATATTTTAACTGTAATATTTCTAGTCAGACCTTGGTAACCACCACATATATAACTATGGATGGCTCCCTTAATAGACTGTGTAGTACATTAATTTACGACATTACAAAATATCCTAGTGGCTGCATTTAATGTTGCTTGAGTAAAAACATGGTAAAGTTTCAGGTTACACTTTATTCTGCAGTGTACTTGTTACAGTGTAATTATACAGTAGTACGTTTAAGTACTGAGCAATATTAACAACATGTACTTACTAGTTAACGGTTTAAAGGTTAAGGGTTACACTTTATTTTACAGTACATGTGCTCATCTGTACTTACAGTGTACTTACCTAAGAAAGTCCTGGGTAACTGCATGGGTTAGGGTTAGGTTTAGGGGTAGGGGTAGGTTCAGGGTTAGTACCTAGTAATTACACAGTTATTGTAATTATTATAACAAGTACATAGTACCCTTTATGTACATGCGGGGCAGGATTGTAAAATAAAGTGCTACCAAGTTAGGGTTTGGTTTGGGGTCATTGCATGTAATTATGCATAATTTACTTTTACTATTATTGTAAGTACATTCAACTTGTGTAACAAGAACACTATAATGATGTAGTACCACGTTTCATAAGCATTATTAAAGCTCTAGTCTAAGCAAGCTGTTTTGACTTTTAATCATTCCTAGGATACAAAATTTTGATATCAACAATTCAGTTTTCACTAGTTAAAATGTAATTATTGATATTTGTAATAGCATTTTTACTAGTTTACCTTTGCAATGATATGTCATAGTCAAGCATACAGCTGTTGTCAGTTTGCATGATAGATCAATTATTTTCAGCACATGTGAAGTTATTGTAATTATTATAACAAGTACATAGTACCCTTTATGTACATGCGGGGCAGGATTGTAAAATAAAGTGCTACCAAGTTAGGGTTTGGTTTGGGGTCATTGCATGTAATTATGCATAATTTACTTTTACTATTATTGTAACCACTGACCTTTATGCTTCAAAATGTGAGCACTCATAGGTATTATGAGGTTAACAGTTGGCTAGACATCTTTGCTGTTGATTTTTGTTGATGCAGATGTTGTCATGATGCACAATACAGTGTTTTAAAAATCCTTTCTACATGTAATCTGGAACGATTTCACGTGTTAATTATAATTGCAATGACAGAAATAGCAATCTTTTGAAAGTGTGGCTCAGACAATGTACTGATTAACTACTCAGAATGTATATTGCGCATTAGGCACATAACCAAAAATGTTCTTGGAAATGGCAACTCCAATTGAAAACAACAAACTTCTGGTCGCTGCAAGTTGCAGAATGTTTGTGGTTTCAATGAGAACAGAACAACATACGTGATGTGCAAAACCTTTTACTTCTTAAGTCAAGGTGTAATGGTTAACCAATGGTTAAGATGAGCATCAAATTGGTCAAATTGAAATTGCGAATTGATAAAACGCCTAATGGAAACGCGTCAATTTCGCAAAAATGCCCATATATCGCAAAAAAGTTTTTACGCTCGCATGAGGTGGTTTTTCAGGCAATGCGAAAAAGGAATAATTCGCAAAACTGCAATGGAAACGGCTTTTTCGCATTTACAGGTCACATGGCGTATGTAAAAAGTCATATGATCATTCTTCAATGTACTATAACCTCCAAGAAACACTTCATAAGTGGCCGCGCTCCAGTATAAAGGGGCTTTCCCTACCATTAATGCTTAGACAATTTACACTGCACACGTCTGCGGTGCAGTGTGGCTCTGATACGGTCACTGAAGCTGATTACGGCCACTCAATGCTTGTGTTTATGTTTTTATACAGACTATGGTTTATTCCAGCCATGCCACGCACGTTTCTGAAGCGTCTCTCTTTGCTGCTTCTGTAAAGATACACGCATAAGCCTCCTTTGAATAAATATAGCCAAAATCCCACCAAAATCCGTTGCCATGACTTATCGGGAGAGGCAAAAGGTTACGTTTAAGTCTCATAACATTGGTTAATGGAAATGCCGTCATTTCGCAATACTTTTTTATCGACATTTATAAAACATCGCCAAAGTTTTGCGCAAATCTGTAATGGAAACGCGCCTAATGAAAGCATCTCAGATTAACAACACCTGCACATCAAATAAAACCCATTGCAGGAAGAATGAAAATGAAATGGCTTTCACTCAAAATATATAAATTACCAGACACATATGTTGCTTAATTTATATACAAAATCAACATTTTATACACCTCCTCATACACCACGCACCCTTACAAATCAAGGTTCACAGAAGGTTGAAAAGTCATTCTTATCAGAAAATAACAGCTTGAAGGAAGCCTGGTAATTAATTTAAAACTAAACGGGCAGCAAAATGTCATCGCCAGTACTACTGGCTTCATGTGCCATGATTACGATGGAGAATTAAACATGAAAAAATAAATAAATAAAAATAATTATGAAAATTAAAAATACTCTAGAAAAGGTTTCATATATGCATGTATGTAAATACTTAAATAATGCACAGATATTGCCAAGATACATCAGCTCAGAAGGATGAAGGTAATCTTAACTCTCCAAGATTCTTTCCTTTGCTATATATTTTATAATATGTTTTTGATATTAAAGGCAAAATGTCACACTTGGTGTTAAACTTAATTTCATGGTTGAGCAAACGTGTTTTTGAGTCGACAGGGAAAGAAACGTTTTGTAAAATGTGCCTGGACTGAGTTTATAATGGATTTAAGCCTTGACTCTGTTTTTTTTTTTTTTTTGAAAGGTTTCCAACAACTTTTGCCCACACACATCTTGGAGATCATCGATATTCATAGGCAGAGCCTTTACATCTTTTCATATGCCGCACATATGCCATGCATTTTTTTTCTCCGTGTACTCGAGTGACAAGCCTTACTCTTTGAAAGCTCTGATGCTATAGCATTTTACAATTTCCAAAAGGGGAAAAAAAAAATGGTGATAAGGTTCACGTCTGTGCTCCTCAGTTCATTTCACAGCTAGACACTGCAGCTCCCTCATCACTACCTGCATTTCCCCAATATTCCCTTGAGTTCATCATCAATGCTATTGCTCAACCTGTTTTTAACCTTTGGAAAGTCTTTTCACTTGCTGCAAGTCTTTGCCCGAATTCAATTCAAGACACTGTTGCCATCTTACACAGCTGCCAGTCAACACATGAAGCCTTTAGAGTTCCTCAATTCTTGCTCTTCAGTGCAAGACCTGTGAGAAAAGCAAAGAAGCCCAACCACAGTCAAAGAAAGACCTGAGTTTCACCTCTTTTCAGGACCTTTATTCATACACCAAAAAGCCTTATATCTAAACTTTCACTGCAAATATCATGTTCTTGCTTCTAAGAGAAGCATCACTATTAGTTTTGCTCATACCTGGGGACTGTATACCCCTAATCTTAAATATAACATTTTGATGCATAATTCATCATGATCCGTTTCTGCTACAGACATGAATGAATCCTCAAATTATGTGGCTTGCAATGTCTAATCTGTAAAGGAATCACTCTTCTGAGTCAGATCTGTTTAATGAATTGGATGAACCAGTACACAAAATGAGTCTGAACAATTAGTAACAAATCAATAGCCGTACATCCAAATTAACATCAGAAATGTTAATTTAAAGTTAAAAACCTGAATAGCCATTTTATCAACATGCATACAAATGTGATTTTAAAGACATGCAAAACAAGAAGTATATTGCTGTCTGTTGTAACTAATGTTATCGTAATACTTTATTTTAATAGTCCACTTTAGACATTCTACTAACTATAAGCAACTTTGCAGTTACATGTCAGCTTATTTTACTAACCCTAACCTTAAACCTAACCCTAACCAAACCGCTTACTAATACTCTAATGAGAGTCAGTTGACGTAGTTGAAGTTTAGTTTTAGTTAGTATGTAAATCAGAATAAAGTGTAACCAAAATTATATCATCAGTTTTCATAAATCATATGACAGAAGCATAAATGCACTAGTTCTTTGAAGTTGAACTGTTTGAAACAACTCATTAACAGAAATGAGTCAGACTCCCGTTCAAACATATGGTTTCACCAGTTCACACTTACATATAATGAATAGAGTTATGTGTATTTGGTATGCTGTCCGAGGGGAGGGCCCTGAGCTGGTGGGCTTATTTGACTTGGAGCAGGAAACAAAGAACCACTCATGACACTGTTGCATCATAGGTGGTTATGCCTGGGGAAACCCCTCTGTTCTCAGCGGCCTGTTCTGGTATGTGCAGTAATGTAATTTCCAAATAATTTCAATAAAAAAAAAAAAAAAACGATGTAAGGTTTTCAGACATAAAAAACATCCTCTCTTCAAGTACACCCAAAATAAAAAGTTGTTCCAAACCTGTATGAGTTTCTTTCTTCTTTTGAACACAAAAGAAGATATTTTGAAGATTGCTGGAAACCAAACATTTGCTGGTAGCCATTGACTTCCATAATATTTATTTTATTTTATTTTTTTTCCCATTCTTTGGAAGTCAATGGTTACTGGCAATTGTTTGGTTAACAACATTCTTCAAAATATGCTATTTTGTGTTCAAAAAAAAAAAAAAAAAAACTCATACAGGTTTGGAACAACTTGAGAGTAAGTAAATGATGACATTTTGTGTAGACTATCCTTTTAAGTGGCCTTATATTTCATTAATATTATATTGTGTGCAAGTACAGAGTGCACTACATGTGGCTGCAAACAGAGACACGTAAAACATTTAAGTGTCAAATTACTTTTTTTTTAATTCAATGTATTCACAGACATCTGCTTCATGTAAGTGACTTTGAGATCTTAATGGCCTTCTTAATCTGTTCACAATATCAAATACAGACATACTAACAGCATTAGCTGCTATAGTGATTGGCCTACCAGCAGTACGTCACACTTAAATTCAATTCAAGTCGGAGCGACCGTTTTTAAGCAATGTGCACAATTCACCCTACCCGTGCAAAACAGAGGAAAAATCAATAGCTGGGTAACCTGAGCACACACTCTTGAAGCTTCAAAGACGACTTTGAGATGTAGAATTAGATTGAACCAGCCAATACACAACAGTGCCCCATACAATACATTAAAATTTGAAAACTGCATCACACACAGCCTCCCCCTGACAGTTTTCTGGATAAGCAATGATGAAGATTCTTTGATTCACTTGCTATGTAGTCTATGCAAATGATACTGTCATTTTGAAATATGTCGAGCTGCTTTTGCTGCAAATGTTTATTTTTTTCTTCATGTTTAATTTACGTCACCAAGTAAGTGATATAAGTTCAATGTGGTGTGCCCTTTAGAGCTTGTAACAGGTTGTGGTTGAAATATAGATCATGCATCACCAAATAGAAACTGCGCATTTTTTTTTACTGTTGTTTAAATGTAATATTCACTTTTAAACCTATGCCAACTTATGCCATATATCTCTGATGATTTTAAATGTCAAATACTGTATAATGATGTTTTCGGATTTTGCACATGAATGTTGCCACTCACAATTACAAATTGAACAGAGGCCAAGAAATACATTTAAACCAAAACCACATGATACAAACCACAAAAGTGGCTGTATAGCTTTATACAGTATCTTAAACTGTATCTTTATGTACAGTTAAGTGTCCTTTTTTATTAATATGCTATGTAGTCTATGCAAATGATACTGTCATTTTGAAATATGTCGAGCTGCTTTTGCTGCAAATGTTTATTTTTTTCTTCATGTTTAATTTACGTCACCAAGTAAGTGATATAAGTTCAATGTGGTGTGCCTTTAGAGCTTGTAACAGGTTGTGGTTGAAATATAGATCATGCATCACCAAATAGAAACTGCGCATTTTTTTTTACTGTTGTTTAAATGTAATATTCACTTTTAAACCTATGCCAACTTATGCCATATATCTCTGATGATTTTAAATGTCAAATACTGTATAATGATGTTTTCGTATTTTGCACATGAATGTTGCCACTCACAATTACAAATTGAACAGAGGCCAAGAAATACATTTAAACCAAAACCACATGATACAAACCACAAAAGTGGCTGTACCATAAAGGAAAAAAACAGGTACTTTAGTAAAAAATCTTCCAAGTTCAGAATGTTTGACGTGAAAATCCCAAAACGTATCAAGTGAGCAATGAATCACAAGATTTTATTGTGTTTCTACTCTCTTCCTTGTGAAAAACAAGTGCACTTTAGCATACTTTTAAAAGTATATATATAAAAAAACATAATGTAATGTTTTCAGACACTTAATTGCATGTTTAAATATATTATTTAATTGCAATTACAAATATACAATTGTATTACAATATATTAAACTTAAATGTAATTTCAAATAGCATACTTTAAAATTGTAATCAAAGCACATGTGCTTTAGTATGTAAGTCAACACATCAAAATAAGTGTATTTCTTTAAAGAACAACAAAAGATTTTTTTAAATAATGATTTAAAATATTCTTTAAAACCTTTAATTTGACAATATTGCAAAGTGTACTTAAGCATGTTAAAAATTAAAGTGTAATATCTTTATGTACAGTTAAGTGTCCTTTTTTATTAATATTAAATTATCTGCAAGAAAAGTTTTTTTTTTATTTATTTACTTTTAATATTTGAAGTACTACAAGTGCACATTTAATACAATTAAGTACTTCTGGTTACACTTTATTTCGATAGTCCACTTTAGACATTCTACTAACTATAAGTAACTTTGTAACTACATGTCAACTACATGTCAACTAATTCTCATTAATCTGCATCTACGTGTCTACTAACTCTCAGAGTAGACTGTTAGGGTAGGTTTAGGGTTAGTAGAATGTTGACAAAGAAAGTGTTAGAAGATATTAAGCAGACAGTCTACTAATACTCTACTAACTGCTAGTTGACATGTAGTTGCAAAGTTACTTACTGTTAATAGAATGTCTAAAGTGGACTATCGAAATAAAGTGTTACCGTACTTTTTTTTCACAAGCACTAGTATACAGCTGCTGAAAACCATTTGAAATCAGTTAGCATTTGATGTTCCTTTAAAAGAACAGCTGCTGTTGTTTTCAAAACATATTTTTACTATTAAATTGCACATCCAGGGCCCAATAAAGCGAAAGGCCACGAGAGCGTGCATATTACACTGATTTTTTCAGTGTTAGGGTTGGTCCAACAACTGTTTTAGTGATAGTATTATTAAAAATCTGAGTAGGTTATTTTTAAGCTTTCATCCAGAAAGGAAGTAAGGGACAACATGGGATTCTTCAGTCAGCAGTTGTTGTACAGTACTGATAAACACATCTACTTTAATGGAGATTTCCTTTCCGTTTCCTTTCCCTTAGCTTACATAATGTGTTTACAGTGCTTTATTCTTGTTTTGCTGTTGTAATTAAAGGTTTAATGAGCACCCCTGAGAGCTGTTGAGACACAGGCTAGTGGTCTGGAAAGAAGACCTCCTGTCAGCCCCTCTGAATGATATAATCGCTCCCTAACCAACTCCCATCCTGAGGCAACTGCATACACAGACTGCAGGAAAATCACATAAGTGCATAGCAGAACTAACAGTGTTTTTACCTTGCATCATTTTCATGTCAATGTTATAACTTCTGTCAAGTCAGCACAGAGACATATGACTATAAAAGCTCTCGGGTCACGCAATGAGGAGATTGTTGATTACACATAAAAATCAGACTAGTCTGCACCTTTTGTACCAAGTTAAGCACTTCACATATTTAAAATCCTTTTGGGGGATGAGGGAACTGTGCACTCCAGAATCAAATGGGATATTTTACAAAATAGATGCCATTTGTGTCCCTCATTTACGGTAATGTGTGAAAAAATAAATGAATGCCAGCTTTACTATGTAATATAGACTAATAGATTAATAAACACAAATTTTTCTTTTTTCTTTTTTAAGTTTAGTTTAATTTAATCCTCTTTCTGCATGCACTTTTGTCTTTATTCATTCTAAATATATGATGGCAACAAATATAGTTGTTATATTTTATTTCATTTTTATTTTTATTTTGTATTATTATATAGTAGTATTATATAATAGTTTTGACATACAACACATTAAAAAAGACTTCAAATTATATCTCCAGGCTGTATGCCAATGCTGTTACCACAATATGTCCCTGTTTACTCCATTAATGACTAATTCTTAAAACCATCATAATTGCACCATCATTTCAAGAAAATAACTCTTCAAAGACAAGAGAAAGTCCCATCTTTTTCTGCATGCTATATGACTGTCAGTTGATAAATTCAATAAATTCTAAGACGCACCTCATAGTTTAACAATGTCATAATCAGTGTTGGGCAAGTTACTTCCAAAATGTAATACATTATATATTACTAGTTACTGTCTTTTGAAAGTAATTAGTTACATTACAATATTACTGTCTCTGTCGCACATATTGCACCTGACTATGCATTCTTATCCTTTTCTCTGATGAACTGAAGATAACAGGAGTGTGTCCATCTCACAAATGTAGAATCCGTCTCTGCAGTCATCTCAACCATTTAATTCCAGCATCAGGAAATAGACAAACTATTTTACCCGCGGGATTTTTTTCTCTGGTGCTGTTTTGCGGTGTTGGTAAATTCACCACTTAATTTTGAGTTAAAATATGTTGTTGTAACTTGCGTTACTGAGATTGTAACGAGTAATAATATTACCCAAATTTGATTAGTAATGCGTTATATTACTGCGTTACAGCAAAAAGTAATATACTACTGTAATATTATTACTTTTGTAATGCGTTACTCCCAACACTGGTCATAATATAATATCAAATTAATTGTCAACTGTTACCTTTTTGAAGGTATAATTATCTCCCAAATGTATTACTTTAGCTTGATTTGGCACAATGCAACTTATTGACTTCAAAACACACTATTTGTCTGATAAAATATTTAAAATGTTACAAAAATGTACTTTCAAAACTCCTTATTATACTACAAGTGGCAGCCGTTTTATCGGATGCCCTGAATACACATTCCAGTGTTGTAAATTATTAGGATCAAATGTCTGAGGACTGCATTAGTAGTGTTCTATAGTAGTATCTATAGCACATGAAACAAACAAGCATGTCCACCCTCTGATTTTATCTTATTTACAAACACACACTCGTTCACCATTATTCTAATAGTTCTTGTAACAAAACCAGTCCAAAAAATAAGAGAATCTCACCTGGAAATCAACACGACGGATTATGATTAAAATGTTCTCCACCAGCTCCAACCAGAGAAGGGTGTCCACCCAATCCCAGCAGTGTAACTTTACAACCTCAGTCCCAGAACCGCCTCAAGTCCAACTCGTCTCGTGTGACCTCTGAGAAAAGTGACACAGCTGAGTTTCCCAGTCGCGAAGAGGGTGTCATGCACTTTAATAATGACTTCCTGGCCAGAGATGATCAAAAGTGATCCTTTAAGAGCAGGTTCGGCCGATGCACTTCGGGCTGAGTGGATGGAGAGGAGATGAATTGAGAGAGATAAAGGGGAGGAGAGATCAAATGTGTCTTGCACATGTCTACAGGAAAATGTTAGGCTAGGGTTTTTTTCTTAGAGCTGCATGTGATAGAGTTAGAAGAAACCACAGTGAGTTTTTTCCAGATAAACGGTTAACGACAGAACATGACAAACTTCCTTTTTCCAGACACAGGGTGAACAACAGAAGATGACAAACTTACAATGATGGTACAGTCTGCCTCAGACGTCTAACATAATGCCACAACTTCCTGTTCATGAAAACAGAAACTACAGGCTCATTTTAAAACCTGTTCTCTGCGCCCGCCTTAATGGCAGTAATGGAATAAAATCATAATTTGCATTAAGAGCACTCTGTCATTTTGCCGCTTTATGACGCCACTGTCAGTAAAAACCTGATTAAACAGAAGAATCAAAGCTGAATCAAAAAAAATGTTTTTGACCAAACCATGCTTCTAGAACAAAATGTTTTCTAATGCCAATCCACCTACTTTTTCTCTGTCTGAAACGTTCTTTTAAAGGGGTCATATGGTGCGATTTCAATTTTTCCTTTCTCTTTGGAGTGTTACAAGCTCTTGGTGCATAAAGAAGATCTGTAAAGTTGCAAAGACTAAAGTCTCAAATCCAGAGATATTCTTTATAAAAGTTAAGAGTCAGCCACGCCTACCTAAAACGCCTCGTTCTAACACGCCCCCACATATCTATGTCACTATGTGGGAAGATTTGCATAACGCCGCCCAAATGTTCACGCAAAGAAAGAGGGCGTAACTGTTGCCGCCGCCATGTCGTGAAGGTGCTGTATGTTTCGTTGTGAAAGCTAAACTACTTTGTTTGGCCTTCCAAAAGAGGACGATATCTGCTTCGTCATGCCTGGAGTTGATCCGTGCTGGTTGCTGAGGAAATACAACGACTTTGCGCTGTGGATCAAAATAATGTTCTTTTTAGCAGCATCATATGACCCCTTTAAAGTCTGAGACTTCTGGGAAATTCGGTTAAACCTATATAAACCTAATATTCTCTTAATTGAAAAGTACATTCCATGAGGAAATGTAAAGCAGTTCACCTATATTTGATAAAAAGGTGTTTTGACCTTTCAATGAATTTCATACATTATTGACTATAATGGAGTCTATAAAGGGAAGGAATGAGACTCATATCTAAAACATAATGTTAAATAATTAAATGCTGTACACACTGTTTTGTGGTTGTCTGTTGCTGTTCTTGGGCTTCATTAGTTTTATTTCTTGTTTCTGCTGGTTTGCATTTTCATTTATGTTACTAACTGACTGATTTCTGAACTACACAGCGGTTTCTTGATTTATACATGTGGCCTTCCCCTAAAACTGTCAGGGCAAATATGATACTTTCCATTTCCTAACATTTTTAACTTAGCAGAAACAATGATTTTTTTTTGCAGATCTGAAACAATATAATGTTCCATTCACAGTTTAAATCAGGAAATATTTGTTTGAGTTTAAACTTAAAGCAGTTATGAGTTCAATGAATGTGAAACTCTATCAGCAGTATCTATGGCATGTTGTCTATTATCACATGAAATAGTTGTGATTGGTCCCTCAGTTTATAAAAACAAACCAAAAAAAAAAATGTGTTTACAATAATTCACTTCATTTCTATAGAGCAAGGCACTGGACCAGCAAAAAGGTAATTACTCGATTAAATCATATATGTTAATTTGGTAAGTGTATTTGCAAATGTGTCCAGATTACAGTCCTGTAATGTTTCATTCAGCACATCAAAGAGTGATTAGAAACATCGGTTAAAACTTTAGTTTGGGGACCAATTCTCACTATCAATTAACTATTGACTAAAATGTTGCCTCAAAACTACTAATTTGCTGCGTATTAATAGTTAGTAAGGTAGTTGGGATCTAGAATATGGTCATGCAGAATAAGGCACTAATATGTGCTTTATAAGTACTAATAAACAGCCATGCTAATAATAAACTAATTAATAGTGAGAATTGGTCCCTAAATCAAAGTGTTACCGAAATGTCTAAGTTTGTGATCGGTAAGGCTTTATTTGATTAGAAAAGGAAAAAAAAAACAGTAAGAATATTATTTTGGAGTATTATTATAATTTGTTTTCTATTATCTTCAGTTTAAAATTTATTTCATTCCTTTGATGGCTTTGATGACTCCAGTCTTCAGTGTCACACGATCTTTCAGAAATCAGTCTAATATGCTGATTTAATATTTTTATGGAAACAGAGATCCTTTTTTTTTCGGATTTTCTTTGACTCGAACTCAAAATGTTTGCTTATTTTTAAGCTGAAATGATTTTCTGTGCCCACAGATGCTGTCAGTAAAGCTTAAGCCTTACTGCACCTGCAACAAGTTCTCCATGTATTTTAATGTTTTTCATTCTGTCATTCTCTCTGGATAAACTTAACTCAAACCTCATGACTCAATAAGATTCATTTCAACAGATTTATGCATCACCATGTTTATTATACCTGCTGGAAATGCTCCGACATTAACTTCCACAAACTACATCATAATATCTAAGGTTACATGTGTACAAAATAGTCCTTCATAGCAATAAGTTTCAAGCAAACCTAATTCTCAGTGACATGCAGCCTAATGCTCAGGTCTAGGGTCAGTTAGGAGTAATACACATCCAGTACAGCTAGTACAAAGATCAGCTGAACTAGCGGGTTGCTAACAGCAGCTGATCTGAGAACAGTCTAGGTAGTCTTTGTGCACAAGGTGATAAGGCCGAAAGGGCAGTCCGCTTATCAGTCCTCATAAGATAACCTCCATTCTCAGAGGTTAAGTCACCTGCACCTGCAGGGCAAACCGATGACGATACTGGAAAACACCAGAATGTGGGCCTTCTTCCAGGTTATTTTTCAAAAAGATTCTCAGTAATATGAAAAAGTGGATATGAAACTAAAGGTGACATCACCACAGACCACAAAAAAGAAAATAACCCAGCGTAATAGATATGTCTTTTCCTCTGCATATTGTATAATGACTGATACATTTCTTGTGACCTGGGGATTATCGTCTTGACATCAATCTGTTGTGATCAACGAAACCCATCCCGGGTCATGATGGTCGATTAGTCAGTTAGTGGGATTGACTAACTTTTTTCGATTAACGATTAGTCCAGTACTTTAATTTGCATATTAAACGCATGCTGCGCTTTAGCAGTATAGATCACAATGGCAAAATCTGGGTGACATTTTGTGGGCAAAAAATTGTTCATGCAAGAAGCACCGTTCACACAAAAGTCACTTTCAGCTTTCTGTTGGTCAATGCGGCAAATATGCATGACCAATTTGAATGTGAGTGCAATCTGCTTGGGGAAATTTTTCGCACGAAACTCCCGATTGCACAGGTTCATATTGAAATGACTGGACTTTGGCCACAAAGTTTCGAGAAGCACCGGTAAATGTGTCCACACCTTTAGACAGTTTTGAACATTAAAACATTTTGCGCCTTTTATTCATCACCTTCAAAGCACCACAGTCAGGAAAGACACATTCAGAAGAACGTCTCTGGCCATTGTGTCACATCTTGCACCGTTTTTTAAATGTCCTGCAACAAGTTTTTTAAATGCTGTTTAAATAGTCCAAATTTTAAAACCATGTCTTGAGATCTTTCGGTCGGCTCTTTTCCATTTTGGTGAGGTACGGTCACATTAGCAAACTTTTGCAGGCAAAAAACTTCTACTGTCTATTGTCAATAGTTTAGCGATGAATGAAGCTCCATTCACACAGAATTCACTTTCAAACCAAGTAGCTTTCAGTTGGTAAATGCGGCAAATGTGTGTGACCAATTTCAACCAGTTGCAAAATCTGCATGGGGAAATCTTTCGTCCTCACATAAAATTCATGATTGTGTGGATTTCCATTGAACAGACTGGATTTTGCCTGCGAAAATACGCAGAATATGGCTAAATGTGACCGCATCTTCAAAAAGTCATCTAGTTAGGTGAGGCGAACCCAAAACCAGCCAAATTAAATTAGCGCTTAGTTAAAACAGACTTGTCAATTTCGAAAAAAAAAAAATTTGTTTTGCACATGCCTATGATGAACAGTCTGACTTTGTGTCTATGTAAAGGTCTCGGATGGGATCCAAAACAGTTCTTTCTCAGCCTTAATATCTGCATTCCAGAGTTCAGATGGCCTGCCAAAGACACCCGAAAGGTGACTACCTCCATCCTACGCTCGAGGTGCACTGAAAATTGCTATAGTTCGGGCATGTACTCTTCATTCCTCTCGCCCTGCTCCTCGGTTTCTTCTTCAAAGGATGCTAACACGCTCTGTCAGCCCCTGCATGTCGGCGTCCTCCGCACCCTCCTGCTCGTCGTCGTCGGACGCAGGTGGCGGGGGCACCAGGTGAGGAGGGTAGGGCAGCGTGTGGTCACGGGCGTACTGCTGCCAGCGGCTGTCATCGCTCTCGTGGGTTATGTAACGCTCCCCAAGCTTTGACTCCAACTCTCGGAGGTCCAACCAAGCCTGGTAATCCTGAAAGAGCAGACGGGGGTGGTGGAGGGAGAGAGAGAGAGAGAGAGAGAGAGAGAGAGCGCAATAAGGAGATGATAAAGACAGAAGGACGCCACAGCTAATGATGATTCATTTTGTTTGCGGTGTCTAAAAGCACTTTACTTAAGAAGCTTATTTGTCCTTAATGTAATTTGCTTCTCAAACATAAAACTCTCTTTTACTGCAAATTCATACTTAGATTTTGTCATTTCGGGTTGTTTTACAAATTTGTCATTTTTCCATCTTTCATGTGGAGCTTTTAATGTAATTGCAGACCTATTTCCAATTTTTTTCATGTGAATAAAACAGCCTTATCCTTGTCTAGATTATCCTTCTTACTTCTGTCTCTAATTTAATTCAGAAATTATATTTTTAACAGTATTTTAATAAATAATATAATGTATGTAATATTACATTTTACATCATTAACTATCCTCTACGGCGTGATGGCATAAAATAAAGCCAAATCTGTAATCTGCTACGTTCAACCCTATTACTCAATCTTTTATTTTATCAGTAGCTTTAAACTACGATATTTGATTAATGTTCATGTTTTTCTTTATTTATTTCCATATAATTAAATATAAAATTATTACTTATATTTATAATTTTTTTTATTTACAGATGCAAACCTCATATAAAGCACATGCATCACCATTCAAAAGTTTGGGGGTCTGTAAGATTTTGTCATGTTTTTTAAAGAAAACTCTTATGCTCACCAAGGCTGCATTTATTTGATGCAGTAAAAACAGCAATTTTGTAAAATATTGTTACAATCTAAAATAACTGTTTTCTATTGTGATATATATTTTCAAATGCAAGTTATTCATTTGATGCAAAGTGTTCAGTCTTCAGTTGTTTTGGTGCTCCAGAAACATTTATTATTAGTATTATTAGTATTATTAATGTTGAAAACAGTTGTGCTACTTAATATATTTTGTGGAAACCATGATACAGTTTTCAGGATACAATGATGCATAGTAAAATGACTTATTTTAATGTGATCTCCTAAAACAACATTTTCTCTTTTTTATTATTTATTTATTTTCACTGATGGATTTTTTTTTTGGGACAATTTTCAAAAAACAAACAAAAACAATATGTTTTATATATGTGTGTGTGTGTGTGTGTGTGTGTGTGTGTTCTTAGAAAACCATATGTGGCGTCCTATTAATTGAAAGAAGCATTAAAAGCATGCGCCTGATATTAGCATTACCTGTAGATAGGTATGGCTGAGACTCTTGTCCACACTGTAGCGTTTTCTCATCTTCACTTGGAGCAGGTTATTGATGAGGTCGATAGCTATGGAGAAATGGAGAGATCACACAAACAAAATCTGCATTGATTGAAGCTAAATGATTTACAGCAGCAGACAGAAAATCGAAGGCGGATGGAACTACTCAACGATCAGCCTGCTTTTAATGCATCGGATTTCTTTTTGTTGTTATAAAGTAAATTTCCAGGAAGAGCCACGCAAAGTGTTCTCTATTCAGCTCTTTTAACTTTTCATATACTTCTATTCTCAATTTGATCTGACATGTTATTGTACATTATGAACTTGTATTTAATTCGGTGTAATTTTACTGTGTTTGTACCTTCAGGAGAGATCTGTTTCCATGGGTTGGGTGGGTACATGAAGGCGGCATTGTGGATCTGATCATTGATATCTTCATCCTCGTTGAAGGGGAAAGTTCCACTCAGACTGACATACATGATCACACCTACAGACCACATGTCCAGAGAGCGATTGTAACCCTGGTTCAGCAGGACCTCGGGGGCCAAATAAGCTGGCGTGCCAACAACCGAACGGCGGAAAGACTTCTCTCCGATGATGCGAGCAAAACCAAAGTCACAAAGTTTCACCTATGAATATGCCGTGTGGGTGGGAAGAAGTGTTAAGAGTCAACAAAACGTAAAAAGGAGAAGGACAACCTTGCACTAATAACAAAAAAAAAAAAAAGTGCTAGTTTGTTTCACATGCCTCTAGGACGTATTAAAATTGCATTGCATTGAATTCTCTGACCTGTGGGAAAGGATCCGCTGATGCTAATAGCACGTTCTCAGGCTTGAGGTCACAGTGCACTATGTTTTTGAAGTGAAGGTGCCTCAGAGCAGCCAAAATCTAGAGAGGGCGTGAAAGAGAAGATATTGGTTCAACATAATGCCTTTAAAGGTGTAGCAAGGGATTTCTGAGAAACGCTGTTTGAAGTGGACCAGGCCGAGCACCAAAACACACTTGCAGCCAATCACCAGTAAGGGGCGTGTCCACCCATGATGGTAGAGGTGCCTGTGTTGCATAGCATGTTTTGCATAGCAATTTGAGGGTGGAGCTATCAAGCGTTTCTCAGAAATCACTTACTGCACATTTAAAGGCCCGTTTACACCAAGCACGATAACTATATGATAAAAACTTTGACAGCCAATCAGAATCTACCTAGCATTAAAGAGCTTGTGCATTTAAAGCGGTAAGTGACAAAACTGCAGTGCACGCTTTAAAAAAAAAACAGGGTGCTTATATGGTTATCATAATAGTTATCATTCTGAGTGCAAACAGGCCTTTAGAATGATTATGAAAATGAATAGCTATAGTTAACTTCGTAGTGATCGTACCTACTGTAGTATGAACAGGCTTTAATTTTATGAAAATAATGAACACCACAGCTATAACGATAATGACACAAAGGAACAATAACGGTATTGTTGGAATCGCTTACAGAACTTTTTCCAGCGAGTGAACGATATAAAAACATTGACAGCCAATCAGTACCCACCTGATTTTAAAGAGCTTGTGCATTTATGTGCTAATAATAAACATGACACCAGTATAGTTATCGTTATAGTTATCTGCAACATAAAATGATAAATGAGAGTATATGAATAATCATGTACTAATACCTGAATTAAATATTACTTTAATGTGAACTAATAATGAGTTAAGGCATGCACTAATCAAGGACAATAATTACCACAAAATGTTAATTAATATATTTGCTAACAGGCATGTACTAACATGTATAGTTAAGGTGGTCATTATTCACACATGAATTCATATGACTCATGCTGTTCTTTTCATTATTAGCACATATTAACAGGTTTGAATTCTATGAAAACAGTGAAGTCCACAGAGTAACAATATTCTGAGAATCACTTTCAGAGTGATTTTTTTTTCCAGATGGTAAATGATAAAAACTTCAACAGCCAATCAGAATCCAACAGACTTGAAAGAGCATTTAAAGCAGCAGATGAGAAAACTGTTCCCGTTATAGTTATCTTTATTGGTGTAAACAGGCCTTTAGAATGATTATGAAAACTCTATGTCCTTGGTATGAACTGCCCTTAACCTCTAAGAAGCATGTTTTAAGCTCTAAACGTAGCGCTGACCTGCGTGATGAGGAACTTGGTGAGTCTCTCAGGAAGTCGTCCTTTCTCACTTGACAGTATCATTTCGAGCATGTCACCGTGAAGTTTCTCCATCACCACAAACACCTTCTCAGGCGTCTCAAACATGCACTCGAGATTCACTATACCCAAATGTCGCAGGCTCTGGGGGAGGTTGAAAGGACAAGTTAAAGAGATGCGGTTGAGTGAGTCACGTTGTTGCTTATTTGCATGCATGAACTTATGTTAGGTCAGGTGTTCTCACAATCAGGAGGCACACAGCAGGTTTATAATTGTGTTATATGTGATCATTATCATGCAGTCAATACAACGGCACTCATTAGCCACACAGTTCTACGTGTGCTGAATAATTGCTTCTCTATCGCCCCCTGCTGGTCACCTGCAATATGGCTACTTCATTCCTCAGCTGGCTCTCCTGCTTGGTGGGGAACCGAAGCTTGTCGATCACCTTCACGGCTACATCCCGGCCAGTTTTCCTGTGTTTTCCTGTGCGGGTTGAGGAAATGATAATGTGTGATCTTTTGTAAATATCCATTCTTGCATATCATTAGTGGTGCTTGCTATTGCATATATTTAGGACAAGAGATATAAGAAATCCATCTTTGGTGTGTTCACTCTTAAAAATGAAGGTTCCAAAAAGTGAATTTTTGCGGTGATGCCATTTTTGGTTCCCCAAAGAACAGTTCTTGAAAGAAACATTATTTTTCTTAGTGTGAAGAACATTTTAATAATCTAATTTTAAAAAAAAAAACATTTTCCACTATAAAGAACCTTCATGGAACCATCAATGCCAATAGGAATTTTTATTTTTAAGAGTGTAACTTGTCCTGAATTGGACTTCAGTCTAGAATATAATAAGGTCTAAAGGGTGCATCTGCTCTTTTGGCAACCACATAGCAACACCCTATGTTTAGAAATGGTAAAAATCTAGTTTTCAGTCACAGACATACCTCCATATACCACACCAAATTGTCCAGAGCCCAGAACCTCATCAGCAAAGATCTGGTACACCATTCCAATGTCCTGTTGGGTACATCATCATCATCATCATCATTTATTTTTATCTTAATCGTTATCATGATCATATTTGTCATCATCATCACACTATGTGATATATTGCACCTTTAAAGGTCAAGTTTACTCACCACGTTCTCCTGAATCTGACTGTTAGACACTGAGATGTTGACTGATGCCTGCCCTGAAAATCAATCAGAACAATAGCCACATTAGCTTCACTTTATAATATCAGTGTTATACTTGTACTGTATGAGGGTCAATGACAAATAAGGATGATAATATTAAATTTAAAAAATCAAAGTTTCAATGCAAAAAAAAAGGTAAAACTGCAACTTTTGTCTTCATGTTGATATGAAACTCTTTTTTTAATGTCTTTTTAATGACTTTTTGAAAAGGTGTAATACATTTTTATCAAGTCTCTAAATTAACTATAAACTATAAATTATCCACATAATCAAGTGATTTGTTTAGGTTTCTTAACAGTGACATTATCCCTATACTGATTATGTATGCAGCATCACACCTTTCTTCCAGAATTAAGCTCACTTACGGTGAGGAGTGTGACCTTCTGCTGGAGGGTTGTCTTGGAAGATGACTGGCATGAGTGCTTGACGTATAACAGTCTCCCATCCTTTGGCGAACTCTCGCCCCACCCCGCTGTTTGGTGCAACACTACTGGGGCTGGCTGAGATGGGCAGACCAGACACACTGGATGATGGGGACGGGGTGGTGTTGGGGTCCTCACCAACAAAGTAGATCATGGTACCCGTCATGATCTCAAAGCAATGGGGGCTTGTGCCGGGAGGGACGAGAGAGAAATCACCCGCCGGACGGACCTGCAGGATTTCTGAGAGCGGGATCTCCTGCGGAGGGAGACAAGGGGCACATTAGACCCTCAATCATGCAGACAATATGCGCAGAGGTTAATTTCAAAGCAGGATGGGGGTTAACGCCAATGTGAGTAGAGATAATTAACTGAAATGACACATCAAACCAGGTCATTCTACATGTGAAGTCACCCTAATGGCCAAATAGCTTGTGTAAACCATTCATAATGCATTATTTCATGAACCCAGAATATTCGTGCTTCATCTGTCACTGTGAACGCATAATGCATAATATAATGTGGCATTTCCACACACACATTAACTCCTTTTTCATGTGCAATTTATCTAACAATGTCTATAAACTATGGAAGCTTTTTTCCACAATGGGATAGAAAAATAATAATAATAATAATAATTGAATATTAATTAAATGAAAAAAATAATACAAATAATAATTAAATTAAATAAAAAAGTGTGACTTTTTATCTCACAATTCTGTTTTTTTTTTCTTGCAATTATGAAAAATAGAGACAATTGCAAGATATAAGCTTAGAACTGTGAGATATAACATTTTTTATTTTTTGTTCTTTAAATTCCAAGTTTACATCTCACAATTATTTTTTCCCGCCATGTAATAAATAATGTAAAAAGTAATTTTAGACTTTTTTTATATTTCACAATTCTGAGTTTATATGTAACAATTCTGAATTTACTTGTATATCTTACAATTATGACTTTTTCTCTGAATTGCAAGATATAAACTGAGAATTTGCATTATCATTACAGTGAGTTCACATACTCGCAATTCTGTTTTTGTTTCTGTTTATATCTCTCAATTCTGATTTTTATTTATTTTTTCCTCAGGATTGCAAGAAAAAAGTAAGAATTGTGAGATATAAACTCAGAATTGTCAGAATAAGAGTCAGAATTGTGAGATAAAAAATCGCAATTACTATTTTTTTTCATCCCATGGCGGAAATGGGCTTCCATAATAAACAGTCATTAAACAATAAAAGAAAGGGAGATTCTACCTTGTAGTATTTGTTGGTGGTGTCGTTTTGAAACAGGATGATGCATTTGCAGTCCAGGCGCCAGTAGTGTTTCTTCCTCTGTTGGAGGGTGGGGTGACAGGTCAGAGGTCATAAGTCAACAAGGAGTTGGTGCTGGGGTCAGCTTCACCCCAGCAGACAGGAGGAAGAAAGCGAAGGGTAAACAGAGCTGAAGAGAAGAGGAGGACGCAAGAGAAAAACCAGGAGGAAAGTTAGAAAGAAAAGGCTAAAGAGGAGTAAAATGCTACACAGAAATGCAGACGTTTTACAGGAGGCCGAGAACAGGTCAATATATCTATGTTGAGAAAAAGCCTCAACCAATTTTTCCCGATTCTTTGTGAAAATACTTGTCTAGAAGCAATATGAGTGACATTTACTGCTATTCATTCCTACAAATCAATATCCACTCCTGCAGGGGACGCTCAGAATAGCCTGTGATTTAAAAGCTGAAGATTTGCTAATATTATAGTGCAAGTGTGCAGATTGATTCAGAACACAAATACAGAAATATCAATAGGGTGTTTGGAAGTGAGGCAAGGATAGTGTATAGACTAGACAGAATACTCTGGCTTTGTTAAAGGAATAGTTCATGCAAAAATGTCTTCATTTACTCATCTTTCTATAGTTCAAAACCTGTAGAAGACTCAACTAAATGAATTATTTTTTTTTTGTTTTGTTGAATGAATGAATGAATGAATGAATGGTCCATACGACTAGCGCACTATATTACTATGCAGGACTATTATGGAGGGCCAAATTACTGAAAATTAAACCATTAAATAAATATATAAATATTTAAATAAATCAATAAATGCATAATTAAAGGTGGGGTATGCATTTTTTCAAAAACGCTTTAGAAAACGGAGTCGGGCCGAGTACCAAAACAAACTTGTAGCCAATCAGCAGTAAGGGGCGTGTCTACTCATGATGTGGAGGAGAGAGCGTTTAGTGCTCACATTAACCGAGCCGAGCGACAGAAACATAGAGATGGCGGATAAAAAACAAAAGAGGAAAACGACTGCGGAACAAAAT